TGGTGTCCTTCTCCAGGAGCTAGAGCCATTGGACATGCTGTGTAACCTCCTTGACCAGAATGCAGGCAGAGGGTTGAGGAAGAAAGCAGGTTTGGGTTGCTTTTCTCAGGATTTGACTGTCTTTCAGTCTCAGCCTATGGACACCAGGTATAGGCTACTCCTACTCTGCTCCCAAGCACCAGATAGGGCCCTGAGCAGGCAGAGGTCCAGCAGCTCTGGGCACAGAATCCCAGAACACCCCAGCTGTCAATCTGGTCCTGATATTGAAGCTCACTTCTAAAAACTAAGCTTTGAAATCTTTATTTCTAAATAATTCTCTTGTCCTTCCTATTCCCCTCCCCCTCCTTTCCCTTCATTCCCCTTTGTCTAGTCCAGTGAACTTCTCTTCTTCTCCTCCCCACCCTCCCTTGTTGTGAATTAGCATCCACATATCAGAGAGAATATTCAGCCTTTGGCTTTGGGAGACTGGCTAATTTCACTTAGCATAATATTCTCTAGTTCCAGCCATTTGCTGGCAAATGCCATAATTTCATTTTTCTTTATGGCTGAGTAATATCCCATTGTGTATATGTACCACATTTTCTTTATCCATTCATCTATTGAAGGGCACCTAGGTTGGTTCCATAGCTTGGCTATTGTGAATTGAGCTGCTATAAACATTCATGTGGCTACATCACTGTAGTATCTGATTTTAAGTCCTTTGGGTATAGACCGAGGAGTGGGATGACTGGATCAAATGGTGCTTCCATTGTAAGTTTTCTAAGGAATCTCCTTACTGCTTTCCAAAGTGGTTGCACCAATTTGAATACCCAACCATGCTATGTTCACAACATGTACAACCACAAGCGTCTTTTCATGTCCTCTTGTTATGGGGCAGACCGTTCAGAGAACATACCAAGTCCATTTTGTTTGAATTGGAGTCTTTATTTAGCCGGGTGGCCCACATCCGCAAGCAGAGGCACAGAGCTGAATTGAGCAGTTAGCCAAACAGTGCAGTGGGTACATTGGGATTTCCCCGGGGACTTTCCAGGTTGGCATAGCAGCAAGCAAGCAGAAGGGAAGTGGGTCAAAATGACCCTAATTGAGTACAAGTTAGAGAATGGTTACTAACATCTAAACGATCAATCGCTGACAGAGTACACTGCTCAAGAAAAATGGGAACCAAAGAGAACAATTTTACATTGCGTAAGAATTACCATTTTGGGCTGGGGATGTGGCTCAAGCGGTAGCGCGCTCGCCTGGCATGCGTGCGGCCCGGGTCCGATCCTCAGCACCACATACAAACAAAGATGTTGTGTCTGCCGAAAACTAAAAACTAAATGTTAAAAAATAATTCTTAAAAAAAAAAAAAAGAATTACCATTTTGTGTTGCCAAACATGCTATGCTAAGCAACTATTGATAGGCACAGAGGGGGAGTGTTCCCATGGGAGAAGCATTTCTTACATGAATCTGTTTGGCAACTGTTTGGCTATACGTCATTGCCCATATAGCGTGGCCTGTAACACTCTTAGCCATTCATATACCTTCTTTGGTGAAATCAAAATTTTTGCCTATTTTAAAATTGGTTTTTCTTCTTATAAGTTTTTTCTAATAATTTAGAGGCACTTATAATAACTCGGGGGGCACTCGAGCACTGAGACACATCCCCAGCCCTATTTTTTAAATTTTACTTACAGACAGGGTCTCACTGAGTCACTTAGCGCCTCACTTTTGCTGAGGTTGGCTTTGAACCTGCAATTCTCCTGCCTCAGCCTCCAGAGCCACTGGGATTACAGGTATGAGCCACTGCACCCACCTGGGTTTTCTTACTATTAATCAGTTATAAGAGTTCTCTATATATTTTGGATACAAATTTTGCCTTTCGTCAGGCAAACAATCTGCAGTATTTTCTAATCTAATCTAATCTGTGCCTTGTGTTTACATTTATCTGAATTCTGGCTCTTGAAATAAAAGTTTTTAATTTTGATGAGATCCAATTCATCCATTTTTTTTTTTAAAGCATCATGCCTTTGGTGTCATACCTAAAACTCTACCCAACCTGGGTGAAAGATTTTCTTCCATTTTCTCACATAGTGGCTTTATGGTTTCAGCTTTTACCATGATGACTATGACCTACTTTGCTTTGGTATTTATGTACTTCGGTGTAAGGTAAGGGTCTAGGTTTATTCTTTTGCATGTAAATATTCAATTTCTTTTTTTGTGGCAGAGCGGGTACCAGGGATTGAACACAGAGGCATTCAACTACTGAGCTGTATCCTCAGCCCTATTTTGTATTTTATTTAGAGACAGGGTCTCACTGAGTTGCTTAGCGCCTCACTATTGCTGAAATTGGCTTTGAACTCAAGATCCTCCTGTCTCAGCCTCTAGAGCCATTGGGATTATAGGCATGCGCCACAAACAACGCCCATCCATTGACTATTCAATTTCTTGAAAAGATTATCCTTTCCCCATTGAATTATCTTGCTATGTTTGTCAGAAATCAATTGACAAGGGGCTGAGGATGTTTGCTTGCCTAGCATGTGCAAGGCCCTGGGATCAAACCTGGCAATGCAAAAAAATAAAACAACAAAACAAAGAATAATAATAATTAGAGACCTTAAAAAAAAAAAAGCTGGGTGCAGTGGTGCATGCCTGCAATCCCATTAACTATCAAGTCTGAGAAAGGATTGCAGATCAGAGGCCAGCATCAACAACTTAGCAAGATCCTATCTCAAATTAAAAATGAAAAAAAACTATGGGAATGTAGCTCAGTGGTAGAGTGCCCCCAAGTTCAATCAGTACCAGAAAAAATAAATAAGAAATCAATTGGCCAGAAATATAAGAATTTCTGGATCCTCAATTCTTTTTTTTTTAATCGATCTGTCCTTGTGTCAATACTGCCCTATATTAATTATTGCATATTCACAGTAAGTTTTAGAATTTAAAAATGATACTCTACCAATCTTGCTCTTTTTCAAAATTGTTTTGCTTATTCCAAGTCATTTGTATTTTCTTGTAAACCTTGGAGTCAACTTGTCAATTTTCCCCCAAAGAAATCCTATGGGATCTTGAGTTTGCTTCAGTCTATGAATTCATGTGGTAAAAATTATCTTCTTTATTTTTACCCCCTCTTCAGTACTAAGAATTAAACCTGAGGCACTCTTCCACCAAGCTACATCCCCAGTCCCTTTTTGTTTTGAGAGAGTGTTGCTAAAGGTTGGCCTCCAACATGTTTCCTCCTGCCTCAGCCTCCTGGGATTATAGGTGTCACTACCATGCCTGCAAAAATCACCATTTTGACAATACTGAGTCTTGGAATCCATCAACATGGAACTTTCCTCCACTTATGTAGGTCGTCCTTATTTCTGTTGCCAATGTTTTATGTAAGTTTTCAGCATACAGAAATTGTACTTACATTTATTATTGTTTTATGTGAAGGTAATATAAATTTCATTTTCAAATTGTTCTGTGGTTGATTTCTCTATATTGCTCTTGTATCCTTTCCACCTTGCCGAGCCAGGACGGGACGCTCGTGGCTGTCAGGAAATGCCAGGACGGGACATCGCGTGCATGCTACCCTCACCTAGCAAGTCTGATCACCCGAAGAACGGGGCCTGTGGCCAACAGGTGGGACTGCCAGGTGACAGAGTCACCATGGAAACCAGTTTGGTATATTCTCATAAAGTTGAATTTTCATGCACCCTGAACCCCCGCTGGAGGGGGGAAACTGTGCATCTAAGTCTAGACCCCAGAGAAACTGCCTCAATAGAAGGGTCTGTCTCTCAGATCTGTCCTTGGACGGTTGAACTAGAACACACTGTGGGTTCAGCACCGGCTTTCAGGCGGCTCCCAGCCTGGAGTGGGCTCTTCAATGACCTGAGAGACCCTTACACAGGTGCCCCAAGTGACATGGACATGAGTGAGCATCGCAGCATACACCGTTCAAGCCAATTTGGGCTTTTTGTTTTGTTGTTTTGGTACCAGGGATTGAACCCACAGCTCTTAACCACCGAGTCACATTCCCTGCCCTTTTTATTTTTTATTTTTGAAACAGGGCTTTGCTAAGTTGCCAAGGTTGGCCTCAAACTTGCAATCCTCCTGCCTCCATCTCTAGAGTTGCCAGAATTACATGTGTGCACCCCAGCACCTGGCTCAAACCGATTTTTAAAGCAAGAAAAAGTGTTCACAGACAGCAAATACTGACGAATAATTATGGCACAGTCACACCGTGGAATATTACACAGCAGTGGAAATGACTGGAAAACAGTCACGTGCAACAGCACGGACAAGTCCGACGTAACCACGGGTGAAAAGACAGGCCTCGGAGGCCAGGACAGTAGGTGCCACTGTCACACAGCTCAGAACCAGACCAAACCTGAACCACACGTCGTTTATAGACACACACCTATGGGAAAACTCTTTTTGAAAAAAAAAAGGCAAAGTATAATCACAAAATTCAAGCCATGGGTTTCCTCTGGGGGAGGCGGAGGAATGGGAGGTGGGATCCAGGGCCTCGCGAGCCTCTCCATCTTGAGGAGGACAGCGACACCAAGGAGGTCAGCTTATCCCTGGTGTCCTCACGTATCCCACGTACTTTCATAGGTAACCTCCGTCTTCCCTCTCTGCTGCACGCGCGCACACACACACACACACACACTCACACTCACAATCTTTAGCTCCACCCTCTCCCCAAGCACCAGGAACTCCATCTCTGACAGATGGTAGGAGAGGGACCCCGGAGACTCAGCAGCGGAGAAGAGTGGGCACCACCCAGCCACCCTAGCACCCACCCTCCAGGTGGCCCAGCCCCCACAGTAGGCCCAGGAAGGAATCTGGTTCCAGAAGAGAAAGCCCCCAGGGTGTGCCCGGCCCACCAATGGCAGGCACCAGGGACCCATCTGCATGACGAGGCTCAGCCCCGAGAGCCGATATTGTCAGGCCCTGAATGCAAACACTGCCCCCCACCACAGGTCAGAGATGGAGACTGGACACCGTTAGAACCGTGCTGTGCAAACACACTTCCTGGGTGCATCCCACGCGTGGCTGGACGTCAGCAGGGAGGGGAAGCAGGGGGCAGGTGAGCGGGCCAGTGGGGAACTGGGGACGCCAGTACCTGACCGAGCAGGAACCACCCAGGATCCGGGGGCCGTGGGGCCTGCGGTGGAGCCGTGGCTCCTGGGATGGTCCTCCTGGGTCCCTTCCTGGCCCCAGCCCAGGGCAGCGGCTGTCCCCAGCACTCACCTCTGCAGCTCCTTCAGGGAGACCGTGACCCGCAGGCTGTGGCCCAGGATGTAGAGAGCAGCCAGGATGTCCGCCCACTGCACCATCTCCCCCAGAGGCCCGCCCTTCAGCACCCGCGGGCTGAAGACGTCCCCGGACTCCTCGGTCAGGAAGCCAATGTGGACGAGAATCTGGGTCAGCGGGACGCAAGAGTTCAGTGGAAGGGCAGCAGACCTCTGCCCTCCCCCCGCCCCCACTTCACCAGCTGGGGGACCAGTGCAGCAGACACTGTCCCCAGGTTGGGCACTTTGGGAGGCCAAGGTCACCACGCCAGGTATTGGGGATGTCAGGAGTTATGTTCCAGACAGACATATGCAAAGACAGACAAGAGACAGTTCAGGCAATGAGAGGGACTCAGACGGCGAAGGGCCTCTCCTGCACCCATCCTGGCCCGGCCATCCCCGCCTCCCTCGCTACGGATCCTGTGCAAGGAAGCCCCCTGCGCTGCTCGGAGGGTCTGCCCTGTGCCTGCCCCGAGGCTGCGGGCCCTGAGCGCCACCTGAGCCCTGGGAGGATGGCAGACCTGCTTCTGGTCCCTCCAGACGTCCCCCAGCTTCTGTGCCAGACGCTGGACAGCCGTCGCCCACTGGGCCGTGAGCCGCTTGGTCCTCTTCTTCATGAAGATCAGGGACTCCTTCCCACTGCCCATCAGCTCCAGGAGGTGCGACAGGTTGCTCCGGAACACTGCCTAGAGGTGGGTCCCGACCTCAGCTCTCCCAGCCCCGACCTGCAGCCAGCCCCGCCCCCGCCACACTGGGGACAGGGACTGTCACCTCTCGTGAGGCTAGGGTCTGCTCCGGCTTCTCTTGTCCTTTCCAAGGGGCCCACCAGCCCCCAAAGCCGAGGAGCTGGCTCTCACCCCCCACACGGACCCCCAGCCAGGCTGGCGTGTCCCGGCCCAGCTCCCAGCTGGGACCCTGCCTAGGGGGCCGCTGCGAGGAGGCCGTGAGGGCAGTGGCCAGAGTCGGGGCAGGGCTGCCCTTCACCAGGTGCATTAAAGCCCTTAACTTTAAGCCTAAGACTCGTCATTGTTAGATGCGAGCACAGAAGGACGGCCAGGAGATTTAGGTACGAGGAAAGTGTCTGCACCCAGAAGGCCCTCAGCAAATGACAGCTATTATCACTCTTATCCCCGCCCCTTAAGGGGGCACCTGCAGGGACCCTGCCTGTCCCTGAAAACAGCTTCACTGAGCAGCACCCCAGGGCTAGGAGGGACACTGTCTGACTGACCTCCCATCAGTCCACCTCCTGACACAGCCCGATTCCACCCGGGCAGGGCTGAGGTCTCTCCCACTGCCCCGAGACTGTCCAGCCTGGGAGACATCCCCCACCTCCAGGCCTACCTGGACTCTGGGAAGGGGCTTGGGGGCCGTCTGAGCCGACGTCTGGTTTCTCCAGGGCAGCGGGGGACAGAACCACTCGACCTCACTGAGGTAGATGAGGAAGGAGCACTCGGTGCCGTCCACCCCGAAGAAGGCGTAGCAGGGGTCAGAGGTCCAGCGGGCACGCATCCACTGTGGAGGGGGCCAAGTCTGAGCAGGTGGCGTCACCAGCCCCGGCCCCTGCAGGCTCCCCTTGCGTGCACACCCCCAGGGACCCCAGGTCTCCCAGGACGGGGCCCATGAAGTGTGTCCTTCCCTAGAGACACAGCAAGGAAGGGCAGAGACCTGGCCATCTGTCCTGGCCACCAAAGTCCCCAGAGGAGGCAGGGCCAGGACCCCCATCCCCTAGGCCTCAGCAGAGGAAGACCCTGGGGGAGCAGGTGGGTCAGGATATGCAGGGGCCAAGTCCTTGTCCTTCATGCCTCAGGCCCTTGTCACAGGGCAAGTGGCCTGGGCAAGGTCCAGGGAAGGACGCCCCCAGTGGTCCTCCAGGAAGGGGTTTGCAACACCACGCCCAACCCTCCAAAGCAGCGAGGAGGCTTTATAGCCGTGACCGGCTCCCTGCAGGGACAGGCACACAGCCAGAGGTGGCCCTGAAGGGGCGGGAGGGACGCTAGGCCAGGGGAACTGGGGACGCCAGTACCTGACCCAGCAGAAACCACCCAGGATCCGGGGTACTTTCATAGGTAACCTCCGTCAGGAGGGTGGGGACAGAGCGGCCAGTCCCACTCCTTCTCCCAGCTGTTAGGCATTAGGCTGCCGATGGCCCACATTTAGTAGCTCTTTTACCAGGAGAAAGTGCTGGAGCCCCTCGGGGGACATCCTGGGGAGCCTGGGTTGGTGGCCATGCCGAGTCCAGCAGAGACACCGTTTCCCTGGGGTCAGCTTCAGCCAGCTGTGCCTGGGCCGGAGCCGCAGGCTGGGGAGAGAGGCCCTAGCTGGTGAACAGCCCTGCCAGGTCAGACTGCCAGGGCTAGGCTGGGACAGCCCCCGGGGCCACCCTCCAGCCGCGCTCCCACCCCCCTCAGCGCCAGGGCTCACCTCCACCTTTCCAGAGCAGTCAGGGAACTTGGGGTCACTGGGCGCCTCGCACTGGTCCCGCCGACCTTCAGACACTGTAAGGAGAGGTCAGCATGCTGAGGACAGGGGTCCAGGGAGGAGCCAAGGGTGGGGGGGACAGGATGGTCTTCGATGGGACAGGGCAGCGGTGGCCCACCTCCACCACCCGCCTGAGTTTTCTCGCCTGAAAGGCCAGGAGCTCAGCGGCCTGACAGGGTCCCCAGGAGCTGCCCTCCTCCACCCCCAGCCTGCTGGAAGAGGTGGCCGGAGCCCATGAGGAGCCCGGAGCAGCAAGGCTTCAAGCGCCCACAGCACGGCCCTGCCCTTTCGGAGGAGGGCAGGGATAGGCCTGCAGCCCCTGTAGGGGGGAGTGGAGGGGCCTGGGACCCTCCCCAGATGCCCCCTCTCTGGGAGCTGCCGAGCCCAGGGGCCGGACTCCAGGGACCTCCTCTGTCCCGGCGCCCTGTGGCGGGGCGGGGTGGGCCTGGGTCACCTTGCTGAGAGCCCGGCAGGACCCAGGAACCAGGTGAGCTCAGGGGAGGGGTCAGGCCTCCCGAGCACCCCACGCGCAGCCCCGGTGCGTGGTGAACACCCGACACCCACCCTTGCTGTGCAGGAGCAGGCTGTGGCGCAGGATCTGGTCCACCTTCACCGCGATGTCCGACACGTTCTGGGCGATGGCCTGGATCCGCTCCATGAGGCCGGCTCCAGAGGGCAGCCTGGGCAGGAGAGGCGGGGTGAGCCGCAGGACCGGCCTGGCCGGCCTCCCGGGGCCTGGGCCACTCAGCAATGGCAGGAGCGTCGGCCCTCGGGGCGCCCAAGCCCTGCCTCAGCCCGGACCCAGGGCGGTGAGAGCCGAGGCCACGTGGATGGGGAGGCCAGGTGGATGGGGAGGCCAGGTGGATGGGGCCACGGCCACCCAGCGGCCACCAAGGCAATGCGAACAGCGCCATCACAGGAAAGCCACGCCCACAGGTGGCCGAGCAGAGAGGAGCCTCTGCCAAGAGCCCGAGCAGGGGCACCCAACGCGCCCCAGGTGACACAGGCCCAGCCAGCTGCCCGGCTCTGTCCCCTCCCTTGGCACGGCACCAAGATAAATTCCACCCGCGGCAGCGCAGGGCCTCCCGGCTGCTCGACTCCAGTGACCATCCCAGAGTGGACCCTGGCATCCTAAAGGGTTGAGTGCCCCCCTGCCACGCCCTCCGCCGCACCCCAATGCCGAGTTCACCTCCTTGTCTTGCTGGCCGCTCGGCTGGAGCTCCTGGACATCCTGTGCTGTTTTGTCTATTGCGAACCCTTCCCGAGAGGAGCCCACGGGCCTTGTCTTCTCGTGCGAGGACAGCCCTGGGGCTGTTCCCTTTCCACACACCAGGTCTCTGTCACCCTCTGGCTCTGCCATGTCACCCCCTCCTGTTTAGGTTCTGTTTGTCCCTAGCCAAGGTCCAGGGCCTTCCTGGCCATATCTAGTGGGAACCGCAGGGAGGGTTTTTCCGACCTGGTCTCTGATTGGGTCTACACAGCCTGTCTCCCCCTCTCTTCTGAGCAGGGGGACCTGTCAGAGAAGGCACAGCAGTGACCCTCGGTGGCCAACTGCCCTCCTGCGTCATCTTCCCCCTCACTTCTACCATCTGTGGCCCATCTACCAAGGACAACTAGTGAGGGGGCTGGCGGGGACAGAGGCAGAGGAAGGGACAATGGGTGGATGACAGGAAAGGAAGGAGCCCCCCAGACACACACGTGCGCATGCGCGGACACACACACACACACACACACACACACACACGTGCTGTCATGCTCTCTGTTTCTTAACAAGGCCAGTGTGCTCATCTCTGCCCACGCCTCTAGTCCCTACAGGTTGCCTGCTTTCAGGAAGCCTCAACCCTCCTGCCACTTCCACCTCCCAACAATGAGCTCTCAGTCCTCAATTTGTGTTGGCCAATACGGTATCCCCAGCCCCAGGCAACTGTAGAGTACTGAAATGTTTCTCATCCAAACCCAGCATGTTGCCAGTGAGAAATACACACTGCATATGAAGAGAACATGGAAAAAATGAAAGCCACCTCATTGATGGTCTTATATTGATTACATGTTGAAATAACATTTGGATATATTGAATTAAACAAAATACACTATTAAAATTAATTTCACCTGTCTTTTTTTTACTTTTAAAAGTGTGGCTATAAGAAACTTTAAAATGACACCTGTGCTCCTATTTATTTCTTTCAGACAGTGTGATCTATAGAAAGGGTTCAGGTCCTCTCCTAACCCTAAAGGGGCACTGCCCCCAGAACCTCTCTCCAAGATGTCCTCCTGGGGGGAACAGAGAAGAGGAGAAGTGGAAGGAGGTTGTGCCTCTAACCAGAGGGTCTCAAATGAGGGACCGCTGGTATCAGGCAACTCTCTGCGCCCCACAAAGCAAAGGGCAAACAGATTCAAGCAGACTTGGGCTCCAGTCTCCTCACCAGGTGGCCGCCATGCCCAGTGGCATGCCATCACTAGCCCAGCCACTCCTCCCCCAGCCTCCCACCTCCCCTCTCCACCTCCCTCCCACCCACCTGCCTGTGCCACTGGGCTGCCAAAACTCTCCTCTGGCCCCTGTGTCCCTCCTCAAGTAGGACAACTGCCTCCCGGTGCCCACAAATGAAGTCCAAACAGCTTAGTCTCAGGCACAGTGTCCCCCACACCCTGACCCCAACCTACTGTCTTCCCCCTCATGGAGCCCCCAACTCTGCCAGCCCAGTGGCCCAGTTCTCATCTCCAGGCCCTGGTTCCTGCTCTTCCCTGGGCTGGAGTGTCCTCTTCCTGACAAAATTCCACTGTCTTTCAGAGCCCAATCCAAATCTTGCTCCTGCCAGTGCCTGCCTTCCTTGATCCATCAGACTCTGGACCTGGAGGGAGAAGACACAACCTTTGGGTCCTCTCCAGATTGGGAGCTCTGAGCTTGGCCTCTGCAATGGCCCTTCCATCCTGCCCTGCGGCAGGTAGACTGAGGGCTCCTGGAGGGCAGAGGCTTGTCTCAGGGACTCTCTGCCCACCCACTCTGGGTCTCACCCCTTTCCTTAAGGGCCACTAATGTTTGCTGAACACTGTATCCTAAAAACCCTGGGCAGAGGGTGGCAAAGGTAGTCCTCTGGGACCTACCTGAGGCTTCCACATGCTAGATCCCTGCCCTTCTCCTGGCTCCCCATACCTCGGACAGGCTCTCCGAAAAGGATGTGCACACGCACGCCCACACACCCACACACCACACACCCTCACGTACTCACACTCACACAGCGGACACTGAAGGCTTCCCCCTCTCGCAGGCCTGGAGCTCTGGCCCCAGGAGGTGGCCCCACCCATCCGCGGTGCTCATTCCTCCCACTAGAGAGGCCCTGCCCACTGGACCCAATGCCCTTGCGGGGAAGCCCCTCCGTTGCCGTCGGGTTTCCCTCCCTCCCTCCCTGGCTCGCTTCTGCCTGGCTAAAATCTGAACCCAGGAGCCAGGAGAGAGCCTGGCCTTCCATCTTGCCCCCACTGTTGGGGCACCTAGTTCTGGCTGCTCCAAGACTAACTGCCCCCTCCCGGCTGATCCCGCTCTGCCCCCGGGGGCACCCCGCCCCCTCCCCTCGGCAGGAATCTTACACTCGGGCTGTGAAGTTCGGGGTATTTTTAGGCCGGCGATAAATAATTCATAGGAAACGTGGCATCAGGCTGCCCCTGCGGGAGGAGGGGGCGCAAGCGGCGAGAGCCACTGTCACCCGCGGCTCAAGGACACTCGCGATGCGGCGGCGCCGGCGGTGACTCCCGGCGCGGGGACCGCGCCACGCCTCCTGGCGGCCAAACTGGGCACCACGCACTCGGCGCCCCCTGCCTCTCCCCTACCCCTTGTGGGTGTCCCTGGCCCTTAAGGTCCCCAGCCCAGTGCCCCGGGCTGGGTCTCCATCTCAAGCCCCACCGTGGGGGTGGCGAGCAGACCTGGAGACGGCGCTGTGAGACAGGTCCCAGCCAAGGCGCCCTGGGGCCGGAGCGAACTCAGGAGTCCGATTTCCTGCCTACCTGTCCCTTTCACATTCTTACTCTTCCCAATTTAGAAACAGGTTCAGAGCCACTGGTTCGTTTAGGAACTGGACTGGTTCCAAAATAGAGCCAGTACGATGGCACCCTCTTCAAATAAGGTCCTTTCCTTGATTTTTCCATGGCCAGGATCAGGATGGAGGATGAGGCCTCCATCCAAGGGCCGGGGGACTGAGTGCTAAGTCTCCTTGGGCTAGCAGGGCAGGGAACCGGGATGGACAAATGGATTGAGCATCAGGCCCAGGGGTCCTCTGGCCCACTCACCCAGCAGGACCTTTGAAGGGTAGCCAAACACACCTCTGGGAATTTTCAGGATGCAAGGTGCCCGCCCGTGCCTTCACAGGTCCTGGCCTTGCCATCCTAGGCTTAGGTACCCACTGCCTTTGGCATCAGGAAGCTCAGACTTCCCCTCCCAGGCGTCGGGGGATCCTGGTTGAGAGCAATCCCCAGGGGAACAAAGTGCCCTGGTGCTGCGGCCAGGGCTCAGCCAGCGGGGCTCAGGCTCTCCAGACCCCTCTTATGCCACCGCTTTTTTTTTTGAGTCCTCCTAGCCTGTGTCCTCCAGGGATCAGGGTTGGTTTTTGGAAGATGCCACCACATCAGAAGCCCACTCTGATTCTCTGAGGGCAGAGAAGAGGGAGAGCTGAGAGGGGAGGGCCTAGGGGGATCACAGGGGGTTAAGGGTCCCACAATGGAAGGTAGATGCCACCACAGCAGGTGCCCCATAGACATGGGGAAACCAGAGGAATGGGCTCCTGAAGCCGCCACAGCCCCTTTCACCCTCTGGGGTCCTCACCCTCTCCAGCCCCCTCACTCGAGTGGAACCCAGTCTCAGCCCCAGGTCCCGGCCCCCACCCGACTCCTTGCCCCAGAGGCTTCCAGCAGCAACAGTTGGGGGACTCTGCAGCCCAGACTGACATATCCCCGCACCACTCACTGCCCGCAGGTACCGCGACGCTAGGAGAAGGGGAGGAGGGCTCCGAGACCCCGGGGACGAACGTCTTGGGAGCTTGGCCCGCGTCCTTCCCTGACGTCCGCTGTCTCCTCCGCCTGTCTTCCTCGCCTTTTCGCCGCCCGCCCGCCAGGGTCCAAACCCCAGGCCCCGTTCCCGAGGGTCCCTGTCCCCCGGTCGCCCCTCCCTGGCTCCCTGCGCTGTCGGACTCTCCCTGGGTGTCCCGCGTCTGTCTCCGCCGTCCTTGCCCGCGCGGCGCCGGAGTCCAGCCCCAAGTTGGCGGCGAAGTTGGCGCCCCCGGCTCGCCGCGTCCCTGGCAGCCACTCACCGGGGGAAGGGGCGCTGCGCCCGCGCCCAGAGCCCTCGCCGGCCGCCTCCCGCGCGGTGCCTGTCCTGGCGCCACGGCCCCGGCGCGTTGGCGCGCTCGCTGCTAGCTCGGCGGGCGCCTGAGCCCGGCGCGGCGGGACCAGTGCCCGCAGCGCGGCCTGGCAGGTGAGTCCCGCCGGCCCCCGCGCCCAGCCCAAGACCCGCTGGGCGCCGGGGTCCGTCCCGGGCTGGGCTGCGCCTCCGGCTCCCAGGGCTCGCCAGCCGACTGTGGCGGAGCGCTCGCCGCCGCCTGCCGCCTCCGCCCCGCCCCGGCCCGCCGCCCGCGCCCCTCCGGGCCCCTCCCTGCCGGCGGGTGCCCAGGTCCTCTCTCCCCTCTCTGGGACTGTGTCCCCAGACCCGATATCCAGAGGCAAGTGCGGCTATGGAGAAAACACCAGCTTGCCCTGAGCCCTGGGTTTAGCCCTCAGTTCTCTAGCTGTGTGACCTTGG